AGGGAGGTGAAGAGCAGAACTTTGATTGGGGAAAGAAAGCTTCTCTCTGAGAGAGGTAGAGAAGCGGGGACCCGAACGGGTTGCCCCCAGGAAACGGTCTCCTGCAGGTACTTTTATAGAGTCAAAGCATGTGGTGAGGCGCATGCAAGGTGTGGAGAATGTGGGAAGTCACTGAGGTGGGCCTGAGACGAGACAGAAGTATGGTCGACAGTGAGATTGCGAGCACCATAGCTCAGGTAAGGTTGATTCAATCCAGAACAGAATGGCCCAGCATACACATACACAGGAATGGGCCTGAACCTAGAACAGGAGTGTCTCCCGTAGCCGGTGGTGGCAGTTGGGGTAGTGACTCTTCCTGGCTTCCTCCAGGTGATGATCAGTCTGAATGTCTGTCTTTAGGGAGATCAGCATTTGTTGGATCTTTGATCTTTGAATCTGGTGCACAACTTGTGCATCGATCTCTCGCTGTTGCAGCTTACCTTGTCTTTCCCTGCTGTGTCCTTGAGGTCCTAGCCCTGTCTGACTGCGTATGATATTTCTATCTTAAATTAGCAGCCCAGAACACGATTATCATGGAATTCTCTTCATACTCCCTTGTCACAGACATGATTTTATTTGGTCTTTTGAGACAGGGTGTGTGTAAGCTGGTGTATAGAAAGGACACTGGAGTTTTTACTACAGCAAGAGTTTGAAGGGTACAGGACTTAGGTATTTTTGGAGTGCTGGGGATTGAAGCTAGGGCCTCCTGTGTGTTTGGCCCAGAAGTTTAGCACTGATTCCACTCCCAGCCCAAGATGGGTGCTTGTAAGCTATAGTATACTTTCTATAATTTGATCAATGTGAAGGAAAGGAACTCTCCTTTCAAAAGGAGAAAATTCTCCGGTAATTGATAATAGATTTAAAGGAAGAGGCCTTCATTGGGGTGGTGCCTTCTGTGTAAAAAGAATTCTGCATGGGTTCTCATGGGGTCCCTTAGGAAGCACACAGGGTTGTTTTATGTGGAATATTTGGAGAAAAAGGCTTTGGTCAACCTTTTGAAATATCTCAATTAGAGATGCAAAAGGTGAAAGCCTGCTTGGATATCTGGAGAGAAACCAGTGTATTCAAAAAGAGTTTTAAACCTGCCATGGTAAATTGCCTGTGTGAAGTTATAGAGCCTCTGTAGTTTTTGGAATATCCTTAAGATTAGTCTTGAGTTCATAGATTATTGCCCCATCCTTTTCTCCTTACAGTTTGTGATGGTTCACTCTATAGGTATAGTTGCATACCTGTAATCACAACACTCTTGAGAGGCTGAGGCAGTGGGAGAGCTAGCTCAAGCCCAGCCTGGGCAAATGATTGAGAGCTTGCCTCAAAATACAAAATAAGGTAGGAGTAGAGATGTAGCTCAGTGCGGAGTCTGGGGTTTCAGTCCCCTGTATTGCTAAAGTAAGCAAAGAATTTCACAGCTTTGCTCATTTCTGTGGGAATTGTTTAAGCCTGTGAGGACGTAACAATAGTAATAAATGATGTTTATATCATAGAAGTATTTCAAGACTACATACAGCACAGGGTCTATAGGGTCTCACTACATAGCTTGGAGTCATAGCAATTGTCCTGTTTTCAGCCTCCCAAGCTTTGGGATTACAGCCGTGGGACACCACGCCCAGTCTCAGTCACTGTCTCAGCACAGCCCGAGGGTGAGCATGGCATGGCAAGGCCCGGCTCGGCCCGGCGCGGCCCAGCTTGCTTGGCATGGCAGGGCAATCGAACCCCCAGTTCCTTTGTCTTCCTAAGCAGGCACTTTAATCCACTGAGCTGTGTGGCTGGCTTAAAATAGTATAGCATTGAAAGCCTCAGAAACCTGAAATTTCTTACTGGCATGTTGGATTTCAATTTCTGCAAGGCTTTAGTAGACAGTGCCACTTATAAAACACAAGGTCATTCCTGTATTAATGAAGCCTTATTTCCTTGCGCCCGTGCCTGTGTTTGTGTGTGCACACGTGTGTGGGCGTGTTGTCTTTTGGAGACAGACTTGTGCTGTGCTGTTCAGACTGGCCTTGCGCTCACTCTGCAGTCTAGGCTGGTCATGCACTCCCAAGGATCCTCCTCCTCCTCCTGAATGAGCTGAGCCTCTATTGAGTGCTGGGATTACAGGCGTACACCACCGTGGCCAACTCTTATTTGCATTTTGGAGAAAAGATCTCCTTATGTAGTTCCCTTCAACTCAGCAGCCCTTTTGCCTGGGTCTCCCAAGTGCTAGAATGTAGAGTTGGGTGCCACTTTAAGCAGTGCCAGTGGTGGGACTTTGTTGTTGGGGAAAACAGAGGTTGGCCTCTGCTCTATATTATCTTAGCCAAGTGTGCCCAGGCAGTTGGTTGTTGCTCCTCCTTCTCCGAGTGGTGGCTGGAAGTCCCACGTGGGTCCTCGAGAACTGTTTGTGAGACCGACGCACCTGCCGTGCTGTCCGCCCTGGTCTAGCTTGCTAGAAGCTGCCGTGGATGGTTTGCAAGTTTGAGCTTGTCCTGGGGAATCTGGTGAAACCCTGTCTCCAAATGGAAAGGACTGAGGACAGCGTTCTGCTATTCATTCCCATTCACAGCTTGTGAGCTATCCATATTATCCAAATCATCCATCTACCTCTGAGTTTCCCTTTTCCTCCTCACTCAAGTAGACTAAAAGAATAGCACGGGGACTCTTGACATTCTGCATCTCCACTGTTGGTGAAATTGCATGCCCTTCCTGTGAATCCATTCTATTTATAGGTACTTCCCATCATTAGGAGATTTTCTAAGAGAAAATATGGTCTAAAATTCCTAGGATAGTCAATGGAAACTCCTGAGTATCTTAAGTATCATTAAATTCCTTGTGCTACCCAAGGGACTTACACCTATTGGTGTTCAAAATATTTCTGGAGGACTTCTAGTCAGACAGCAGAGTGATAAACAGCAGTGAAAGAACCTTACTGAGATTTGGTGTCCAGACACTGAAATGTAGCACTGTGAGGAAGAGCAGGAGTGAAGTGCATCCCTGGGAGCAAGGAAGGATCTGAAGAATAATCGTAGTTGGTAGGGAGACGGAAGAGAGAGAGATTTCAGGGAAAAAGGAGGTGCAGGGAGCACACTTTCCTTGAGTGCAGCCTCACTGCATATGCATGTAAGGGGCAGCAGACACAGTTTTTGCAGCTGACCCCAAAAGCCTCCATGGAGAAATGCACCATAAGCCTCTGGAGAAATGGAGCAGTGGACACGGAT